GCATGCATGCATGCATGCATGCATGCATGCATGCATGCATGCATGGATGGATGGATGGATGGATGGATGGATGGATGTATGGATGTATGTATGTATGTATGTATGTATGTATGTATGTATGCGTGTGTATGTATGTATGTATGTATGTATGTATGCATGCATGTATGTATGTATGTATGTATGTATGTATGTATACATGTAGTCATGTAACTATGTATGTATGTATGTATGTAGGTATACATGTAGTCATGTATGTATGTATGTATGTATGTATGTATGTATGTAGGTATGTATGTATGTGTGTATTAGTATTTGTGCACACATGCATGCATGGCTGGGTGGGTGGATGGATGGAAGCAAGGATGGATGGATGGATGGATGGATGGAGTGATGGATGTGTATACACATGTATAAATACCTATATTGATTTATGTGTATATCCATATACATCTGTGTGTGTGTGTGCGCCTATATATATATATATACACGTTGTACGTGTAGACATGTTTCGATATGAGTGTATACATACGGATGTGTGTGTGTGTATGCATTTATGTATGTGTTGCGTATGGACGGGTGGGTGAATGGGTGGACGGGTGGATGGGTGGATGCGTGGATAGATGGATGGATAGACGGGTGGATGTATGTGTGTGTGTGTAAGTATGTATATATATATATATATGCAGACATGTTTTTTGCACATGCATGCTTACATACGTACGTAGGTACGTACGTACGTGCGCACGTACGTACATGCGTGTACCTATATGAATGTACAGTATGTATGCGCAAAAATACTTTCACATATACATATATATATATGTATAAATGTACTCACTGTTGGTATGTAAATTATACACGCACATGCACCATATCTGTATATATATATACACAGATACATACATGCTGTATACATACGCATATTATGAGTTATGAGTATATGCGTGCGCATGTGTGTGTGTGCCTATGTATTTATGCATATGTTGCGTATGGATGGATGGATGGGCGAATGGGTGAATCGGCGGATGGGTGGATGGGTGGATGGCTGCATGGATGGATGGATAGATGGATGGATGGATGGGTGGAAGGGTGGAAGGGTGGATGTATGTGTATATACATATATGTACATAATATCTTTGTAGCTGCATGCATACATGCATAAATACATTCATTCATTCATTCACGACATACATTCATACATACATAGGTACTTACGTACGTGCGTGCGTACGTATATGCATACACATATGTTAATGTATAATGTACGTAAAACTATATCTATCTACGTGTGCTTATACGGATTCACCTTTGGTAGGTATACATGCACATGCAATACATCTCTATATATATATATGCAACTTGAATGTTTTTGACATGTATGTTCATGCGCATGTGGTTTTTCTGCCATGTCCATGTTGATTCGACAACCAGTAGCTTCATTCAAGAGGTGCGTACTCCGAGAGGTGGACGGAGGTTTGCCACATGTTTTCTGTTCGCAATCCTCAGCATGCTGGAGGATGATTGCCACAAGACGAGCTAGAAAACGCTTAAGAGGTCAGTCGTTTTCGCAGGCTCAACAATTTGGAATGAAAAGCCACCGGGCAAGTACAGCATCCTGCAAAAAAGGGGTCTGTTTACACAGTGATCGTACCCCCTTGTATATTCCCTACATCGCTGTCTGCATATATGCTCCAGAAACATCTTTTTCCTCCTAAACCCTAAACCCCTAAACCCTAAACCCCTCAGCCCCTAAACCCTAAGCCCTCTAAGCCCTAAACCCTAAACCCTAAACCCTAAGCCAAGCCCAAGCCGGGCCGGAGCCTCCCGCCGTTTTTTGGGGAGACTTCTGGGCTTGATCTCATGAGAGCTCAAGAAGGATCCCAGGGGTTGCAGAGCGCCCAAGATTTAGGGTTTAGGGTGTTGGGTTTGGGGTTTAGGGGTTTAGGGGTTTAGGGGTTTAGGGGCTTAGGGGTTTACGGTTTAGGGTCATATTCACATTCTGAATGGTCTTTGAGACTTACATCCCTACTACTTGGGCGCTTGGACCGTAGGAAGATCGGGTCCTTGAAGGGCTCCTTGAAGGAATTCTGTTAGGGCCTTGCTTTAAGGGTTCGCCTAAGGCAGCCTAGACGGGTTCCGGCGTAAGCTCGTGCCCGAGATGAACATTTGAACAGCTTTAAGGTTTTGGGGTTGAGGGCTTCGGTGAGCAGTGAAACAAGTTATCGATTGAGATAGCAACTATCGCATGGATGATTCAGTTTTGCTCCTGATTAGGCTATCGAATTCTTGTGTTGCAGCAACATCCGTACGTCTATAGGCAAGGAAACTATACAAGTGTTGCCCGTGTATGGACGTGTGCGTGTATTTATGCCGGGGCCGGGCGACCACAAGAGCACAGATGCGCAAGAGAGACAAAGAGAGACGGACAGAGAACTATGTCTACAATATTGTGTGTGTGTCGTTCTCTGTGTGTGTATGTATGTGTAAATATACACACATATATTAATTGTACTTGTTCGTTGTTGTTTATGTGTTTATTTATTTATACTCACACAGAACGGGAGATTTAGAGACAAACATTCACACTATTGCACACACGTTGTTGACATGTCGTCCTTCCCTCCGTGTGTACTTGCAAGTGACAAATGTCGTCACATAGCATACACATACAGCATGCTACCGAGAAGCTGAGTCCTAAACCCTAATAACCCTGGTTATCGTTCCTCTCCCATTGAGATCAGGAAGAGCCAGCTTTCGACATGCTACTGCCGGCACCCCTCAAACGGTTGCTCAACCAGAATCGCATCTTGGCAACTTCAAGACTGGGTTCTGGAGTACCATACTTTAATGCTTTTTTTGGGACCTGTTCCTCAAGGGAACCATTATGAAATAGAAGTCTATACTCTTTCTCCCTGGTTACTTCAAAATCTAGAAGAAGCTACAACACCTAAGTTAAAAGCCTACACCCTGAACCCCTACGCCATCCTAAATTCTACGCCCTGGCTCACACACACACACAGCAGTGAAATACGTCAGCAAACAGATGGGTATATATGATCCCGGTTCTCG